CCAGCCACTCCTTGGAAGGAAGGTTGGGCAATCTACTTCCATAGTGATACTGCCTCAGAAACCCAAGGAAGGGTCACTATGAGTCGGTTCCGACTCAACAGCAGTGAGTTTGGTTTTTTGGTATTGTGTTTTGGGGTTGTGTTCCATGTTTTTCCTCCAACTCTTTCCAGGATCTCCAGTTTTGATCCTTTCCCAAGTGGTTGGCATTGGTAGCCGGGCACCTTCTAGTTCTTCTGGTGTCAAAGTCCATCACAAATGCCCTTGATTTTTTGCACTCTTCTTCACTTCCGACAATAGGAGACCATTAGCTGCATCTTAGGTGGCTGCTCAAAAGCTTTTAAGACTCCAGTCACCACAGTGAGTTTGGTTTTTATTTTGGCTTAAGCCTAACTATATTACTATGACCAGTAAATACTGCTGGCAGCTCGTTGCAAATATCAGAAATCAACCCCAACATTCTCTCCCAGGGAGGCAGGACACTCCTCAGAATTCTTTTCACCCCAGAATGCCAGTCAGGCACTGATAATCGATCGCAATTGACACTTATTATAATTAAACTGCTTGTGTCCTAGGCCTTTTTTCTCTTTTATTTAATTCAGCCACTACTGCAACATTTGCCTCCAAAACTAGTTGTCATAAAAATATAAAAACATTTAAGATACCTTCTCTGAAAATTCCCAAATAAATAAAATACAAATCAGAACAAGAATGTAGATGGCAGGATTTATTATTTCCATTTTACAAATAAAGTAACAAAAACTCAGGTTAAGTAACTTGCCCAAGGAAATCACTGCCACGGAGTCAATTGTAATTTGTAGTGACCTTATAGGACAGAGTAGAACTGTCCCATAGGGTTTCCAAGACTGTAAATCTTTGTGGAAGCAGACTGCCTCATCTTTCTCCCATGGAGTGGCTAGTAGGTGTGAACCACTGACCTTCTGGTTAGCAGCCAAATGCTTTAACCACTAAGCCACCAAAAAGTCAGGTTATATGGTTCTTAGACTCTGTCAGAAATTGCTGTGCTGTAACACTCTCTCATAATGATAG